GATTGGGAGAAGGTTATAAATAGAATTCATAAATTAAATATATATTTTTTAAAAAAAAAACCACCTGGAGATGGCATAGATATGTCAGGCACAAAAAATCAGGCCCACACGTAAGTTTCAGTTCAGAAGATCTATTACTCAAGCCTATATACAAGAACGTAGTCAACTAACAGTCAACACAAAATTGGCATGAGATAAAGAGTGAATGGAATTCAAGGTGGGGACGGACACTAGATTTGAATTGTTTGTGGACATGTAATGATTCTAGGCTAAGTCCTCTCTTGACTCTTCCTTCTGCCTTTGCCTGCTTTCTCCTACAGATACGATAATATATGTTTCTACGCAAGAGGAAAGCAGTTATTTGTCAATGCATTTTTAAGTTTCCCAGTCTCTTCTGCATGCCTAGATTTCCTAGAGATCTCCACTCCAAATATTAATGCCAAGTGACTGTTGACCCTTTGAAAGGCTTCATGGAGGCCTTACAAGGCCTTGGGGAGATGTTACAAAGAGCCAGTAGCTGCTTTAGCTGGGTACAGTATGCCTCATCAGCAGTGGGAGGAAGAAGACACGTTGAGACGAACCAAAAGCAACTAATGCAGAAGATCGTAAAAAGTTTGACCTAAATAAGGGCACTTAGTGAAGTGTGTGGATTGAAGCAACTGTCCTTGAGCATTAAGGCAGCCACCTCCTTGGAAAGATTCGATGTAGCGGTTCCAAAATCCTTTCCTCAATTATTTGTTTCTTTGTTTGCATGCAAAGGCACTATTGTTGTTGGGGCTATCCTGAAGCGGAGCAGCTGTTCATGGACACACATCTAGATAACCAGGAACAGCCTTTGATGCGGCTACATCGAACCTTCAGGAGGATGCGGCTGTTTTAATAGTCTCCAGAGAGAGATTCCACACCAGCCAACACCCTCTGCCCAGTGTTTGTAGCAAATGACTCGCCCTTGGAAAAGATTTTAAAAGGATCCTTGGGTTTAGATAAAGGTAAAAGATCCCCTCGCACATATATGCTAGTCGTTCCTGACTCTAGGGGGAGGTGCTCATCTCTGTTTCAAAGCCGAAGAGCCAGCGCTGTCCAAAGATGTGGTCATGTGGCCGGCATGACTAAACACCAAAGGTGCACGGAACACTGTTATCTTCTCACCAAAGGTGGTTCCTATTTTTCTACTTGCATTTTTATATGCTTTCGAGCTGCTAGGCTGGCAGAAGCTGAGACAAGTAATGGGAGCTCACTCCGTTACGCGTCGCTAGAGATTCGAACCACCGAACTGCCGACCTTTCTGATCGACAAGCTCAGCATCTTAGCCACTGAGCCACCGCGTCCCACTCTTTGGGTTTAAGTCAAGCTAATCTATGCTTTCATTATTACAAAAAGCACCGGCTTCCTTTCTAACACTTACCGTATTTTCACCCATATAACCCGCCCACGCAAATAACCCGCCCACGCATATAACCCGCGGGTTTTCCGGATCGTGTAAAATATCTTCCGTATACCCCGCCCACGCATATAACCCGCGACGAGTAAGAGAGAAGGGAAACAGCTGAGATGGGGGGGGAAGAAACGGAGAAACAAGCCTGCGCAAGCCTCCGATCGTGTAAAATATCTTCCGTATACCCCGCCCACGCATATAACCCGCAGGGGGGCGCTGTGCATGTAAAAACCGCATATAACCCGCGGGTTATATGGGTGAAAATACGGTAATTGCTTCTAACTTTTAAAATGCAGAACTTCTTTGTTTTGACTATAAAGTCAAGAATACCCTGATAATATTTTGGTCTTCTGATTTCTCATTATGATTCCATTGAAGCACCTCCGATTATTGCCTCCTCTTCCTCCTCCTCCTTTGCCTCTCAGGGTTATCAATTAAAACATTATCTGCAAGAAAGCACTCCCTGTCCCAAGGCTTAAGCAGGCTTTATCACAGATTTCTTGCATGAGAAACAAAACCCATCCCTTCTCTTCTTTGGAAAGGCTTTTGCTGAGCTAAAATCAGTATGGGGTGATCTTCCTTTTTTTATTTTTTTTGCCAGAGAAAGCAAAGGGCAAGGGGTACTTTGGAAAAAAAGAGAAAAAAAAGGCAATAATGAAAAGCGTATAATCCAATAGAAATATTTTAATGCATTAATACCATTATGGGTTTAATTAAATGTCAAGAACAGTTACGCCACTGCTTAACGGTCAAATGCTACGGAGTGTGTGCGTGTCGCAGCTCAGAGAAGAGATAACTTGCTAAGACATGCTTAGAAGGTTGCATGGGGAATGGGTATATTTTTGGCATCAAATCAAATTAGCCACGGGTTCAAAGGGACATATTCTTTTGAAAGGCGGGAGGCGCGGATCTTTGGGGAGAACTGGGCTTAAAGCACGATGTGTCCTCCTTAGACCAACCGAGGGGAACATTTCGTTCGAACATCTGTTTGCTTCCTCAAGCCATCTACATTCAAACCCTCACACTCACAGCTTGAGACAAATCAAATTGTGCAAAGAAGTGGTGGCAGAGACTGTAACATCAATCTGCCGGATTGAAGGAAAACCCATTATTGAATGTTCCCCTGCATATACGATCTGCCTGTATAGAGGGATTGGGGGTGGGTGGAAAGGACCTTTTTGTATAGAGCAAATCACCACTTTGGGGAGGGAAAGCTGAAGCTATCCTTCTTGCGCATGTCGTGTTTTTTTTATTTTGTAGGAAAGCTTAGAGGACCCTTGTGGGACCCGGGGAGTCATTCCTGGAAATACAGATGAGGCCAAAACTGGCTCTCTTTATTTAATTAAACATATTTTTCTTTGCTTTTCTTTTTTCCCACAGTAAGAATAATTTTTAATCATGAGAAGCCAGATGTCACAAGGAACCTGATCCTGTTATGGGATGAATTGAGAGAGGGTTTTTTTCCCCATCCGTTGGCTCTTTTTCATATCTCATGCTGTGAACCCCACTTTCGGCTCCTGATCTCTAATTTATGGAAATAGAGAAGTTTAATCTTCATTTCGTTGTGTTTTTTTTTTTAATTTGAAGCCTGTCTAGGGCAGAAGGCGGAAAGAGAAATGTGTTCTGACCTAGGCTTCCTGAGAAAGCTCACGTCCTGTTCGCTCCCCTTTTATGTCTTATAGGAGGGGCCAATCATCTCCAAGCCTTATTCCCAAGTCAACCCTGTTTTCTTAATTGTTCTTGCCTTCTGCGTGTGCGCACACTGGGAACAGGCTCCCGCTGTTCTTCTGCCTCGCTGATATCAGGCTCCGAAGGCAGCAAATAACTACCAGATGGCCTTGGTCCTCTCTCTGCCTCCGACGCAGAGCCCTCGTCCGAGCCATCCCCAGACTCCAGGACTAGCCCATGTCCTTCCCCACCTCTCTAATGAGACTCGAACTGCCAAATTGCAGGCAGCTGGCAGTCAGCAGAAGTAGCCTGCAGAACTGCATTCTAACCATTGTGCCACCACAGTTCTTAGGAGGGAAGTTCAGAAATCATGTTAGAAAATATTAGTTCACAGACGGAGTAGTGGAAGCTCGGAACGAATTTCCAGCAGAGGTAGTAGTTCAATCATCAATAATGTAGTTTAAACATGTTTGGGGATGTTTAAGGTCAGCAACCTTAAACACTCAAAGAGCCACAAAGGTCCTAACCGGAAGCCCCTTGTTCAATTCTGGAGTCAACCAGAAGTCCAGTTCCCCCACCATAGAGTCTCCTCCTAGCGTGCCATCCTTTTCCCTCTGCTAACCAGAAGTCTGGCTCCCCCACCATAGTCTCCTCCAAGTGAGGCATCCTTTTCCCTCTACCTTTCCTAACCGAAAACTCTATCAATTGTGGAGCTGACTGGCGACAGGGAGCCGCAGCAGAGGCATGAAAGAGCCACATGCAGCTCTGGAGCCACTCAGAGCCGCGGGTTGCTGATCCCTGGGATAAGCAAATGTCCCTCCTCCAAAATAAAATTAAATATAAATAAAATATAAAAATAAATAAATAAACTCAGGGTAAAATTCAGTTGAGCACTAGGTCTTTTTCTGCCATCAGTACTTTATGTTTTAATCATGTACAAGAAATAAGTTAAGGACCGCCGTCAGCACTTCCCCCTTCGACAAGCATATATATGATATTCACTCTTCCCTCTTTTCTTAGAGTCTTGACACATCTCCCTAAGGATTTTTCTCTCCTGTGTCTCCAGGAGGAAGCTCTTTTCGCCAATCAAGAGAATCACACACACACTCTCTCTCTCAGATCAATGGAGACTTTTTTTTTAACGCGTGGGAAGCATTTACGTGCCTACTAATTGAAAGAAAACCAAGATTTGCTTTCAAATACACTGCCACGAAGACAGTGGGGGTTGTGTGCATTAGACTTCCTTTGTGTGTTCGGTGATTTCGACACATGCTAAACAGAAAGTTGTGGGTTCAGTGCTAAAGTTGCCCTACATATATTTGACATGTAACGGCGGGGAGGGGGGAGGTGGAAGTGTGAAAGTTCTTGACTGGGTAGCCAGTCCTGTTAATCCAAGCGTTTGGGGTAATTAGCCAACCGGATTTAAAGCCGCTTTCTATGACAGATGATATTTCGTTTTACGAAGAGGACTGTTAATTAAAGGAGTCAACTCTTGTTAAAAACACGTCTGTGGCTGGACAGATCATGTGACATGAAAACAATGCTCAAATCCTGATCTCAAAGGCATAGGCAACACAAAAAAATGGGGCTTTCGTTAGCAGTAACAAGGGTGTACATCTACACTCTGCATGGATGCATTGCTGAATCTTTTGTCCGCAAATATTGGTTGTTATTTTCCTTCTCCCCTTCCTGTCCCTTGTTGCCATCTCTGTTTTGAAATATAGAAACGATGCCTGAAAGAGAAAAAAATTAGCGTAGAACAAGGATGATAAGGGCATGTTTTGTGCAGTGTTAATCAGCCCATCCGGGTCTGGGCCTGTTGCCTTGGGTATTTTATTGTCTCGAATCCAAAACATTCCGTGAGTGTAATTGTACTTTCTGTTGTAACGACGACTAGGGGGGAATTTCGAGAGCTCTTTCGAAGCGGACAAAGGTGTGGGGACGATTGTCGTCGCAAAACCCTTGGACGCGGAGCAGAGGTCGATGTACAACATGACAGTGGAAGTCACCGATGGAACCAATGTAGCCAGCACTCAGGTAGCGTCTATTATTACATCTGTCCCAATTCGCACGTAAAAGTTATTAAAATGAACCTCTCATTCATGAATACCTTGATCTTGTTCTCGTGAAGGGAATTGTCGGGCTTGCAGCCATTCTTTCTTTTGTATTTTTGGCCTGCCACACTTTCTATTATTCTACTGTGCATTTTTTATCGTGGGAAAATGGGAGGGGCGATTGTAAGGAGTTACATACTATGTAGCCATAACAACATTCTTTCTAGAAAACCAAGGTCATCCTTTCTCTCGGCACCTCTGCACCTGACAGGAACTGGATGGGTGGAACTGCCAGCATGGCAGTGGGAGATTGGACCATGTGATGGACCGGTGGGCATGGGGACAAGATCTTGAACTTTCAACTGGGTGGGGAAAACCAGGAAGCTTTCAGATTCAGGTATTCCTAGATGTGCCAACATGGCTCTCTTAATAAATTGGAACTTTGAGGAATGCTTTGCCTCAGACTCTGATTTACTTTTGGATGCTATTTAGAACCCTGACAGGAAGCTCTTAACCAGCTAAATCATGTATTTGCTTCTTGCATGCAATTATTACATGTATATATTGTACCAATCAAGAGTGGGATGGTGGCCTAGAGGTAGAGGTCTCACCTCACAATCAGGAGGCTGTGAGTTCGATCCTAGGTAGAGGCAGATATTTCTCTCTCTGGGCACACTGGGAATATATCTGCTAGGGAAAAAACTCTGCATTGGCAACAGGATGAGCAGCCGGCCAGTAAACGCTCAAGCTCCATTTAGTTGCCCAGACTCCAGCCCCCAAGGGATTATGGGGTCACTAAAACAGGAGGAGGAGGATTGCACCAATAAAGGAGAATATTTGTAGCTCAGAGTTAAAATGAGGGATCCTAACATCAGAGCACTGATGATGTTACCTAGCTCGGTAAGGAAACATCTGTAAGAAAACCACCAAGCTCAGAGAACGCCAAGGACCCAACAATACTGTGTTTCTCCATTCACGTCCAGTTAAAAATACCTTTCTGGCCAGCTGATCTTGGACTTGGGCTTAACTTTCTGAAGATGATCCTCATAGCATCTGTGAATCCCATCGTATTTGTAGCTGCGAGCAAAAACATTGTTTTGTTGGTTTTCCCCTCCAATGGATTCGCAACCATACCAGTGAAGGGATTAGTCATTTCCTGATGACCCTGGACAATATCTTCTTTCCCATCCCAGCAACGTGGTTGTTGTTGTTGTTGTTTTGCTGTTTATGCTCAAATGCACCTACGTTTTTTATTTTATTTTTGGTGATACTTGCCAAATGGAGGGAGGGAGGATAATTCTGGGGAGGGCGGAAATGGGTAGCAGCTAAAAAAAGAGAGATAGAGAGAGATCCAATAATTCGGTAGGTTTGTAAAAGCCATAAATTCTCCTCCCGTGGCATTCTGAATGTGAGCCACCAAGCCGCTGAGCTCCAATTTGCAGAATGAAACGACATATATACGTATAATTGGATCGGGCTTGCCGGTGGTGCTTTTCTTTCCTGCCCTGGCAGTGTGTTGGCTCTGCTGTCGGAAGGAGGCAAAAGATGTTGTCGAAATGCCAGGAATGTTTTCCTACCATAATGCGGTCAATGAGGTGGATCTGGGAAACAGTCTCAGTTTCTGTAATGAGATGGCGGCCACTTAATTACAGGTTTGGGTTTTCTCTCCTGCTTAAGAACTGCGACCATTTCCTTTTCCCCTTCTGAGCCCTCTGCATATGGTCCATTACTGCAGTAGTAAAAGGAGTCCAATAATGGTGGTTTACAATTCACACGAGGGTTAAGTTTTACTTGCGTATTAGCTTCGATGGCAGCTAACCAAAAGAACTTAAGGGATCTGAGCTAACGCTTTGTCAATTCAGGGCTCGGGAAATTCTCAGCCGTTTGGGGGCTAGGAAAACGTGGGGTTAGAAAACAACGAATCCAAGTGGACTCCCCAAAGTAACCGCTTTAACAGATTAAAACAGACTTGGAAGGGGCCTTGGAGGTCTTTTAGTCCAACCTCCTGCCCAAGCTGGAGACCCTACACCATTCTGACAAATGTAACAAAAGGAAAATCAATGGTGAAAAAAGTAAGGTTCTACATTTAGGCAAGGAAAACCAAATGCACAGGTACAGGATAGGTGGTACCTTCCTCAATAGTAGTAACTGTGAGAGGGATCTTGGAGTTCTAGTGGACAATTATTTAAATAGGAGCCAGCCGTGTGCAGCAGCTGCCAACAAAGCCAACACAGTTCTAGGCTGCATCAACAGAGGGAGGGAATCAAGATCACATGAAGTGTTAACACTACTTTATAATGTCTTGGTAATGC